GGCGGGGGGCCGGCCTCCCCGGCGGCCGGCTGCCTGGCTGGCGGGCGCCCCCGCCCGGAGAGGAGGGGCGGGCGGCGTGGAGCGAGCGGGCTCGCTCCTGCGCGCGTGCAGAGTGCGCCTCGGCGCTGCGCCGCGCCGCCGCTCCACGGCCGGCCCCGAGCCGGTGCCCCGCGAGGCGGGACGGCGTCGCGGGCGCCCCTTCCTTTCGCGGCCCTTGGGGGGCTACGGAGGGAGGGGCGTCATGGGCTCGCGGGCCTGCGGGGAGGCATGAAGCCCCCGCCCCATCATCTCTACTTGCCCAGGCCGCGAACCACGTAGCACGGACTGGGGGTCCTGTTGAGCCACCGCGCCTCAGGTCCAGGGGCGTAATTTTGTGATAGAGGAAGGGGCCTCTGACCACACGCAGAGTGCATTTCTGTTCACAACAGAGTCGCCCTTGTTAAGGTATTCTTTACATTTCTGTCCCTCCTTCCCCCCCCCCACACGGAGCCCCACGCCTTGTCGTTTTGCATGCGTGGCGGGGAAGCAGCAGGGGGGGGGGTTCCAAAACCACGCCAGGGTTGTGGGCGCGGGGACCGTCTGGTCCGATCCAGAAAGCGTGCTGCTCCCTGCCCCGTGTGAGGGCCCGGGCGGGTGGGCCCACTTTCCGTTCCTGAGCCCAGGCGAAGGACGCCAGAGAGCGGGGAAAGGAAAGAGGAAGGCAAAGGGGCCCGAGGAAGGCCATTGCACCTGCCGGGGCGGGGAGAATGCGGGCTTAGCAGAAAACGCTCAGAAATGCAATAATAATAATTATTATTATTGCAATAATAATAATAATAGAATAGCAGGCTTTCAGCTGTCGCTCGGCTCAGATGCAGGGATAACAGGTCAGCTCAGGAGCCCGGGAGCAGAGTTTCCTCGCCTGCTTCACGTGCCGTTTAAGGCTAAGCTCCTAGTCCCCCTGAGCACAAGGAGGGGCTGGCACTGGAGGATGAAGCTGGGAGAAAGGAGCCACCGGCCGGAGGGGGCTCAGCGGCTCGATTCCTGCCGTCAGGCGGCGGCCCAGTCGGGCTCCCGGCGGAGGCCTTGCACGGCTGCCCGAAGGCCCAGCAGAGGATGGGGGTTGTGGGAAACAGACACTGGTGCAAACCTGCCACCCTCCCCTCCCCCCCCACTGGGTGCCTGCGGAAGCGAAGCCCTAATCAGGCCGCTGTAAAGCAGGAGGGAGAGCATCAGAATACGAGGGGAAACCCAAGGTTTGGAGAAGTGCAGCTTTATCTTTAAAACTTCATCTTTTATCTTTAAAAGGGAAATCTAAGAGGTACCCCCCAAAAAAACCCCCAGCAAGCGAGACAGCCCCATCTGGAGAGTACTTGCCCAAGCTGCTGGCGGGGCATTTGGAAAATAAAGTGGGAGGCAGCGGGGGGGCCTGGTTGCCCTGCAAAGGCGGGCATAATTTGCCCCTGAGTTTGGATTCTCTGGGTGGAGACTTGCATGCCTCTGCAAGCAGTTCTTCAGCCCGTGTTCGGGTGGCCCAGCAATCAGGCCCAGAGTGCGAGGCAAGAGGGGGCAAGAGATGCGCCGCATCCGTGGAACTCGGAGCACTGGCTTGTGCCTGGGGCCTCTTGGTGCCTGAGCAGACTGTGCGACCAAGACACACAACTCAGAGGACGGGGCTGCCGAAACCCCTTCGGACACAGGGCCTTCGGCTTCTGGCCCTTCAGACTGTGCGGTGAAGATCCGAGCCTGACCCTGCCGCCGGATCTTTGTTCACGCACTTCCCAGCAATCACGCAGTGTGCAAGAGGAAAGCAGGCTCCCATCAAGCACAGTGCCCCGTCTTATCAGAAGGCGCCACGGCCAGTCCAAATGCAGAAATGGTACCCAGAGCGCTGGCAATGTGGCATGAGAGAAATTGAGAGTGAAAGGTGTGACTTTCTGCTTCAGGATTGTAGTCGGGAGGAAGTATGATTCGAATTATCAGAAATGTGTGTTCCTTCTCAGCATGAGCTGGATTGTGTCTGAAGTGAAAGAAAAGATGTGGGAGCCAAGGCAGCTGGCACGAGTGACCGGCTCTCCCTGCCACCAGGTTCAGAATGAAAGAGATTTGGGGATCTGCAAAGATCAGACGCAGGGAGGAAACCACGGGGAATCCTAGAATCGTAGCGCTGGAAGGGGCCAGAGGGCCTGTGGGTCCAGCCCTGCTCGGGGCGGCGTGCCAGCGCCTTCGCTCTCTGCGGGCTCTCCAGCTGCCGAGCTGGCTGAGAAAGCAGCTGCTCTGCCTAGCTGGCAACACAAAGGGCAGGGCCAAGGGGCGCCACCTGCCTCTGCTCCAGCGGACCTAGCTGTAAAAGCGCCACCTGGCGGGCACCTGTGCCCACCCCAGTGGGCTTTTCTCGCGGGCCCCCCTTCCATTCGCAGCAGGAGAGGAGCCACGAGCCCTGCTTGGCCAGGAGGGGGCCGGATCTGGCTTGCCTGCTGCCTGGCTCATGCGGCGCACCTGGAGGCGGGGCAGAAGGTCACCAGGCCCAAGCCCTGCTCAGGGCAGGTCCCCAGACCAGGCATCCCTGGCGGGGGCTGGCCAGCTGCCTCCTGAATCCCTCCAGGGTGGGAGCCCACGGCCTCCTGGTCCCACTGCTCTAACAGTCAGGAAGCTTCTCCTGATGCCCAGCCAGAATCCGGCTTCCCGGAACCTGAGCCCGTAATTCCGTGCCCTGGCCTCTGGTAGGGTCGAGAAGCGAGCCCCCCCGCCCCCCCCAGCTGCACTGGCCTTCCCCGTCCTTCCAGCCCATCTCTAAAAGGAGGAGTGGGCTGTGTCAGATGGGCAAAAGCCCCTTCCAGTCTCACTGGACCACGTCCAGGCCAGGGTGGGCAGCCCGGTCGACTCCAGAGCCCTGATCGAGCCATCCTGGGGGTGCCCTCTGGATGCAGGGGGTGCAGATTTCAGCCCCCGCAGTCCCGTCCCTGGAGGCTGAGACAAGCGCTTTCCCCTGCATTCTCCCCCGCCCCCGCCCCGCCCCAGGAGCCCCGAGGCAGCCCTGGGGCCCGGTCGCTCTGCCTGGCGCCTTGGCGGGCTCTGTCCTTGTCCCCCGGCTGCAGCGGCCCTTTCAAGGGCTCCTTGCCACTTAGGAGAAACCACAAGCCTTCCTCTCGGCACCTTTGTGATTCTCAGAAAGCACGTGGCTGCTTGATCCTTGCCGTGCGTTTCACTTTCTCTTTCTGGCCAAGAGTCTGGTGGACAACAAGAACCAGCAGTCTCTCCGGCAGCGGCGGCAGCGTGGCCGGGCGCCTGCTGAGCCAGAGGGCGGCAGCGGAGGGGGGGGGCCCGGCAGGTGCTGTCGGTACCGCTCTCCCTTTGTGTTGGGCGCCTCGGACTTTGCGCAGGGGCTGCCTTTTTCTTGCTCTTTCGTCAGCCACACAGGGGGGCTGTCCAGCTCCAGGGGGGTGCCAATGCCTTTAACCCCCCCCCCACCCAGAAGGCCAAATGCCACGTTGCAGAACTGCATGCAGAGGGGGCCGCATCTGAGTTTGGCGCAGGTCCAAAGGCCAACAGATCAGCAAGGATTCGGCTCCAGTTTGCAAAATCCATGAGGACACCCCCCTTGCATGACCGAGCGCAAGAACAGATTGCTGGGAAAACTTGCATGCTTGCGCTCGCGTTCAAGAGAACACCTTGGCCCACATCGGAGATTCAGACCATGGCACAGCTAAGCAAATCGCCAAATCCATTATTCACGCTGCAGCCTGTGGGACTTTGCATATTTTCTTTTTTTTTTTAAGAAATTTTATTAAATTTTTTAAACTAGTACTAAAAACATCAATCATCACATACATCAGACTTACTGGGTCAGGCCCCTATTACGTATCTTTTAACATTCTATGTTCAAATTCACGGGACCATTTTCAATTGGAGAAAAATGTGCACTTTTAAACATGCATTTCTCCAGTGGAAGCGGCTGTTTTCTCCAGCGGAAGTAAAAAAAGTCACTTGCATCTGGGAAAGGGAAAGCATTGGGAGAAGCTTTGGGGAAGTATTTTAAGAACTTCAGCAAGCGTGGACGTCTGCGTTTGCCCTTCCGCAGAGCACGGGCGAAGCGAAGGGGCTGGGGCCAAGGACTAAAAGCTCCCAAGGGCGGGGTCCCTGGCTGGGGGGCTGCCAGTGCCCAAGAAGTCCCCTACCGGGACAAGGTGAGTGACTCCAGCCCCTTCCGCCCGCCCCCAGCGATTTCCGAAGCATTCATCAATTAGCTCCCCACGACTCCGGCCATGAGCCACCCAGGCTGGGGCAGAGGGGGGTTGGGGTCAGGACCACTGGCAAGCCCTAGCCGCTCCTGGCATGTTCTCGCCTCTGGAAGCTCCGGGACTCGCCAGCGGAAGCTTTTATCTCCGCTTGATTGCCAGAGCGGGGAGAGGAAAGCGGACCGGGACTCCTTCCTGAGCAGGCACCTGCCAGCATTTCTGCTCAGAGAAGCCGCTGGGCAGCGGATTTGCCCGGTGAAAAGATGCTCCCGCAGGGCCGGCACAGGGCCTGCATCCTTCGGGTGCACCCTGCGTGGGGCTAGGGGAACCCTGCAGCCCCCTCTGTGCCCCAGTCAGCCAAGCACCCCCTGGTGCAGCGGTGGGGCCGCCATGATGCGGCAGCGATCGGGGCGCACTGGTCCTGCCTTCCGGAAGGCCCCCGGAGGCGCGGACGTGCCCGCCCTGGAGCATCACTGGCCCGTTCTGGCACCATAATCACTCGGAGGCACGATTTGATGGATGCCTGCGTGGGAGCTCGGTCCACCGCAAGCATTTATCAGCTCGGCCTGTGCGTGTGTCCAGCGGAGCCGAGGCAGCCAAAAAACCTGGATCCAGCACATCCTGCCGGCACCGCAAGGAAAGCTCTGGTCCAGCCGGGCAGCCGGGGCCCCAGAAGC